GTTAGTTCTATATGTCTTCCTGTTAGTTCAAGCACATCTCGAGTTAGTTCTACTTCGTGCCACGTTATTATTAGCACAAGTGTTTGTACTCGAGATGACCATGTTATCCCTAGCTCACTCCTAGTTAGTTCTAGTTGCCCTCCTGTTAGTTCAAGCCCATCTCCTGTTAGTTCTACTTCGTGCTGGCGTTATTTCTAGCCCAAGTGTTTGTTCTGTTATGTCATGATATCCCTAGCTCACTCCTTGTTAGTTCTAGCTGTCCTCTTGTTAGTTCTAGCACATATAGAGTTAGTTCTATTACGTTGCTTAAATATTGTACCCACTTAATCAAGCCTTGTACCTACTTGTAAAAACTTTTATACCCACTTAATCAAGTTTGGTACCCACTTAATCAAGTTTGGTACCCATTTATTCAAGTTTTGTACCCACTTAACCATGTTTTGTACCTCAATATACTGGAATCAAATTTTGTACACACTTATTCAAGTTTTGTACCCATTTTTACACGTTTTGTACCTATTTAGGCACCGTTTTGTACCAATTTATACACGTTTTGTACCCAATTAATCAAGCCTTGTACCTACTTGTAAAAACTTTTGTACACACTTAATCAAGTTTTGTACCCACTTAATCAAGTTTGGTACCCATTTATTCAAGTTTTGTACCCACTTAACCATGTTTTGTACCTCATTATACTGGAATCAAATTTTGTACACACTTATTCAAGTTTTGTACCCATTTATACACGTTTTGTACCTACTTAGGCACCCTTTTATACCTCTTTGCTCTGGATTCAAATATTGTACCCACTTAATCAAGCTTTGTACCCACTTAATCAAGCTTTGTACCTAATAATGCCATGATTTTATTTTTGTACCCACTTATTCAAGTTTAGTACCCACTAATTGCTCGTTTTGTACCCACTTAATACTGTTTTGTTCCTCATTGTTCTGGGGGAAAAAATTAATTCAAATTATCATCCATACATGATTAATCCATACAACCACATTATCATCCATACATACATAAATCTTAAGGGAAAAGTGAATAAATCAAATTGTGAACATTCAACCGAAACACATGCTTTGTTTTGGCCCTCCGTAAACTTTGTTTTGGCGATGCCGTTAACTTTCTCGACCTCCACGAGCAACATTTTTGTTCTACAAAAAAAATTGCAACTTTATCATGACAAATGCAAAGACATTGAAAAAATATTAAATCAAGATTAAGTATAATACCTTAGCTAAAGGACAACTCGTTATATAATGTCCTTTTCCCTTACAAAACCCACAAAATCTTTGTTTTTTTATACTCTTTTCTTGTGCTATCTCCACTCCCGACTTAATTCTAGTAGCATGTGCTGGTCGTCCCTTCGTGGCAACAGGCTTATCTGGATCACGAATAGTGATTTGAGTTGCTTCCTCTATAGAGATGGGTATGGATGAAGTAGGCATCTTATTGCTGGCATTGCTCTCATTTCCATTGTCGTTATGTTCCTTCTCAATCTTGGAATTCTCAACTTCTTCAAAAAATGAGTCTAAAAAAGCACTAAACTTATCATGAAGTGTACTTGAAGTCAATGTATCTTCTAGTGCCTTGTTACATCTACTCCTAAGGGCCCAATGTTTAATGATAGATAGTTGGTCTTCACTATTTGTAATGCAATTTCTAACAACTCCGCAACCAACATGTCTTGCTTTAATTGTCCATCGTTGCATGATATATCTTGATGGAATTTCTAATACTTGCTTCTTTACTAAAATGTGCAAGCTATGTTTGCATAATATACCTTCCATCTCAAATCTCGCACAAGAGCACTTAATTCTTTTTTCTTTGGATGTATCGAAAACAACATGATGCTTTACTATCTTCTTGCTTTCAGCCTCGCTATCTATATTCCAAACGGCATAAGTAGCACTTGCGCCGTCCTTCGACAACTTTTCATGAAGCATGGAGTAACTATCCTTGAGTTCTTTCTGAAAGATAGTAAACAGATTCTTCGTATAATTCTCCCGAGCTTGTTTTTCAATGGGATGTTCAATTATCAATGTAGGAACTGAGTTTGTGGACTTAAAATCTTGCTCAAGTTCAGCGGCTCGGCGAGCTCTGACAGCATTATCATACTGCTTAACAAAATCATGTAACTCGGTATTTACATTCACAAAATGATCAAAAAAAGCATTAATTCCCTCACTCCGCTGAGTAGATGTCATTCCTGCAGTAAAAGTGTCTTTAAGATACACTGGAGCCCAATGATCTCGATGATTGTATAAATTTACTAACCAACTCCTTTTATCTGCACCATATTTGTCCCTCATTTCTTCCCAACGCTTTTCAAATTTTTCTTCCGATTTACTCCAATACCATTTGTTATACTTTACACCAACATCCTCACCATAATCATTATGCATTGATTGAAGATTTTGTAAGGCATTCCTACGAAGGTGCCAAGAACAAAAGCGATGGCGAGTTTTAGGAAAAACTTTGTGAATAGCACCACACATAGCTTTATCTTGATCAGTGATGATTGTTACTGGTGCTATACCCGACATACATTTTAACCATTGGCTAAATAACCATATAAACGTCTCCTCCGTTTCATCGGCCAGTAACGCACACCCAAATAGAGTAGACTGTCGATGATGGTTAACGCCCGTAAATGGTGCAAACGGCAATTTTAAATTGTTCGTTCTATATGTAACATCAAAGCAAACAACATCTCCAAATTGCAAGTAAGAAGTCCTCGACCTACCATCCATCCAAAAAACACTTCTCATCGTCCCATCATTTTCTAAATCAAGTGCGAAGTAAAATTGAGGATCAGATACCTTTTTCTCTTGAAATTGACGAACTATGTTCACGCACTCATGGCCGACGTTGTTTCTTCGTTTAAGTCTAAGTTGTGCTTGGCATTCTTGTTGAGTGAGAGAGCCTTGTTCATTGCCATGAGCAACGTCTACAACCTTACAAATGGCAGAAGGCCGTAAACCTTGATTGTCAAGAGTATCTATCAACCTTTTTGTCGATTGAGCTCGATGAAGTGTCCGATGTGAGTAGTGCTTCTTTACCCGAGTTGGGGTGGTTAATGGATGACCATTATGCTTACTGTTTAACTTTCGGACCACCCATTTTTCAGTGCTTCTATCAAGTCCAATAACCATCCTTGCGTTGCATCCACATCTTGTATCGAACTTTCGAATTACATTCCGACCATCTTCTCTTTTATCTTTTAAAGATTTAAAGCCTTCTTTGTCACATACAAATATTCTAGATAGGATTGCATCTTTCTTTCTCGACCAAGCTGTGTGACCCTTGCGAACACCAAATCCCTTAAGTCTGGCGTATGCATTGTAGAAATTATAAGCTTCCTCATGAGTAGAGAACTCCATTCCGATATATGGATCAACGCTGTTTAAATTATCTTCACCATTTTCAACGCCCATAAGCTCATCACCATTCTCCTCATGCTCGGATGCCTATAAAAATAGAGAAACAAAACTCATGCTAAAAGACAACTATTTTGGTATATGTCATTAGTTAGTAGTACACTATAAACAATAAGATATTATCACCTGAGGGGGAAGCCATGTTGTAGATAGTAGATCATGGTCCTGGCTTTTATCTTCTTCCATTGTTGCCTCACGTGAGAGAATTGGTGGAGTGTCTATACAAGCTATCAAATTATCACATATAAGAAGTTCAAAATCGCTCAAAAAACGTCATCAAGTTGATCTTTCAATTTCACTAAACAATTTCTAAACGATAGTTTAAACCAAATTTAAAGTTTATATCCAATTTAACAATACATGGCAAAAATAGCTCTAAATTATCCGGCTCGTAGCCATAGAGTGAGTGCTGCAAACCAAGTAATGTATGAGCTGAAATTAAAAGGAAGAAGATAGATCCAAGGAATATGCATGAGGGAAGATAGAACCATCATGAAATCCACTAGATCTAACAGGAACGCCAACTAGAACTAACATGCCTCGTAATAGAACTAACATCATCTCCATTAGAGCTAACATGCATCCCGGTAGCATTAACATGCATTTCAGTTAAAACTAACACGTTAATTTAGAGCTAGCTAACATGCATTTCAGTTAGAACTAACACGTTAATTTAGACCTGATGCCTTACCTCGGTGGAGGCGAGCTCGACAGCGGCGAAGTGCGATGAGCCGGCGGCAACACTGAGCGGGGACGGCAAGCGCAGGCTGCGGCGATTTCGTGAGGTGGAGAGGAGGGGGGAGGTGATGGCGAGGATGACGTCGAGGGCTTGATCGATCTCCGGAGGCGGCGATGAACCTGAGGGCTGAGCTCGAATGCCGTCGGAGGCGTGGCTGATGACGAGGGGTGAGCTCGATGGCGAGGACGAGTAGACGGCGATGACCCGGCGGCGACGCTCAGCTGCGGTGATCTCGGGCGCTGGAGAGGAGGAGGGGAGGTGATGGCTAGGGCAAGGGGACGGCGGCGACGCTGATCGGGGACGTCGAGACACAGGCCGAGCTTGGGCGCCACAAACCAATAAAATTATATGAAATTATAATTCATAGTTTAATGTGTGTCCCATCAACTTACACCAGGTAAGAGCATAAAGGGACCAGTCAAAGATATTAAAATCTTTAATTTTAAGGCAACTATCAATGCAACAAAGCGCACAAACCAATAAAATTATATGAAATTATAATTCATAGTTTAATGTGTGTCCCATCAACTTACACCAGGTAAGAGCATAAAGGGACCAGTCAAAGATATTAAAATCTTTAATTTTAAGGCAACTATCAATGCAACAAAGCGCCAAAATAAACTACACTAAAAACATAATTCGAGGGCGCATGTGTGCAAAACACCAAAGACCCCATGACAAATGTCTTAATTTAAAGGTTTTTTTATAGATACCATGTTTAAATAAGGTAATTACAGGAAAATTATATTTTATTTTTAATTTATACATAAATCATCATTAGAATTATTTTTTATTACAATCAACCACCTTCCTATCAAATTCTTCACTTAAAATCCGAAATTACCCTTTAAAAACTCACATTTAATGTACATGACTCTTTTTTTAGCATTTGAGTCTTATTAGGATACAACCCACATTAGGGGTGTGCAACGGTCGATTCGGGTCGGTTTTTACCAAAATTTGAACAACCGAACCGAACCGCCTATAATTCAAAACCGAACCGAACCGTTGCAAGTCGGTTCGGTTTGTTCGGTTCTAACTTCATCAAACTTCTTATCAAATAAAAAACCGTGTTAAAGAAAAAAAATATCAACAAAGTAGGAAATTATGAAACATTAAACACTGATATAATGATATTGTTTTTAACCCATAATGATCAAGAAAATGAGTTTAGAGTTTGAGTTAGGGCTGTTAATCGGTTTGAATGGTGCGGTTAATAGGTGACACCGAACACCAAACCGATCTATTTTTTCGGTTTGGTTCGGTTTGGTTTTTCACTATTTTTTTCAAAAACCAATTATGTTCGGTTTAGTTCGGTTCGGTTTTTCTCTGGTTTATATCGGGTTTTTTTCGGTTATTCTATAAAGAAAACAAGTCTAGAAAAGTAGAAAGTAGAAATGTCTCATATTACATAACCGTTTCCGAAAAAAGCGATGAAAAACTAGAATAGCAGAAAGATGATAGATCAGAAGAACAAGATCAATTACCCGACCACTTGTTTGTAGTTGTAAATTTATGGATCCAAATTTTTTCCCCCATAGAATTAGAAGAACAAGATCTTCAGATGACATTGGAGTGTACATGCGTCTTGCTAAAGAATCATAACACTTTTTTCCACACAGCAGAGGGTAGTTCTCTTCATACGTGAGGTTCTCTGGTAGAATGCTATTGTTTCCAACAACTTGCACCTGTACCAATGACATCTCTATTTTCCATTGTTCTAAGGGTGTGTTTGGTTAGTATTTAGCAAGCAAAAAAAAGAAAAAGAAAAAAAAACATGAGAAATGTGGTTTCTGGGACCTGACTATGTTGCCACATAAGATTTTAGTTTCCAATTGATCCATTTCCCTTGTTTGCTTCGGTTTTGGTTTCCCGTAAGCTGAGCCGAGTCAGTAAAATGTAAATCCCATTCAGACCAAAATGGGAATAAAATAACTTTTCGGTTTTTCGGTTTGGTTTCGGTTTCCAGACATTCGAAACCAAAACCACACCAAACCTTTCGGTTTTTGGTTATTTTTTTCGGTTTGGTGCGGTTTTTTTCTTTCCTCGTTTTTTTCGGTTATGGTTCGGTTTTGGTGTGGTTATTTTTTCGGTTATCGGTTTTCAAGTTACCGCCCTAGTTTGAGTCTTTGACTCTTTGGGGACGAGTCGGGTAGGGTTTGAGATCCAAATGTGTAGTATTGCACTATATTCGATCGGTTCGGGTCGGTTCGGGTTGAAAAGTTTTCAAACCGACCCGAACCGCCCTACTCATAAAACCGGATTTTTCGGATCGGTTCGGATCAGTTCGGTCGGTTTTTTCGTTTGGACCGAACCATGCTCAGCCCTAACCCACATGCCTTGAACTTGAATTTTTTAAGTTTATTTTTAGTAAAAATTTAACTAGGAAATGATCAATCGTAACAAAAACTAACTTTAAATCGTGACTTATGTATAAATTAAAAATAAAATATAATTTTCGTACAGTTAACCTATTATTAAGGTGAATTCTAGAAAAGAAAAAAAAAACTAATTTAAATTTCACGAGCCCTAAACTTAGTCCAGAATATTGAACAGCATCCCGACTTCCAAAAATACAACAACAAACTTCGAGACGGGGAAAAAAAATAAGCATCAATAATAATAATAACAACAACGACAACAAATTAAACTATATTTTTTTCTTTCGAGCACGTGGGGACCATCTCCCGGTCACGTGCTAGGTTGGCCCACTGTTGTCCTCGGGTGAATGTTCAAGATTCGTCCACGTCAACCAACGAGTTCTCATCGCAGCCGTCCAATCAGAGGGCGAAGTCCGAGGTCCCGTCTACATCGCCCTTTTCTACGGTACGTCTACCGCCACGCGCCCCCTGTCTTGTACATCCATACGTACAACTCTGGATAGATACATTATGCGCGAATAATGCGGCAGCAAAAATTCGGCGCTTAGGGAACTATTCGCCTAGAGGTGGGGCGAATGATATTAGGGGCTGTTTGGTTTGTATGTTTTTAACATGTAAAAGGATGAAAAGTGTAAAAAAATAGGTCCTAATGTTAGCTTTCATCACTTTACATTGTTTGTTTAAATTCTCTTTTACATGAAAAGCTTACAAATTTTGATGAGGTGCAACTGAAAGCAAAATCATCAAAATTAGGGTCCGTTTGGTTGCTGAAGAGGGCTTGGGAAAGCCTATCAAAACTATCAGTTTTGGCGGGCTTTCTTGCAAAAACTCTATTTTTCGGGACGTTTTTGCAAGAAAGCATGTCAAAACTGACAGTTTTTGTCAGTTTTGACAGGCTTTCTGCCCATTTTAACTCATCTTTTCAGCAACCAAATGGGCCATTAGGAGTGATTTTGTTGGAAAGCTGACACAATGTCATAAACGTGTTCAAAAAAATAATAAAAAAGTCAAAACCTTGTAGAAAATGGTGAGGTGGATAACCACTTTCCATTTTGTGTCATAAATACTCTAGATTAACATTATATTGTCCAAACAATGTAATACTATTATTTTAGGATTCATAAAGATTCGTAACCAAACAATGTAAACACTCGAACGGAAAATAGTGAGGTGGATAACCACTTTCTATTTTGCGTCATAAATACTCTAGTTTACTAAAGGCATGCAAATAGCAAATCAGTCAACATATATTCTGTAAAATGTTAATCTAAGCTGATCATATAGAAAATCTCAAGAAGCTTGCATGATATATCAGTCAACATATATTGATTTACTAATAATTAATGTTATAATTCAGCGCACTATAAATACTCACAAGGTTTTTAAATAATGATGGTGGGGCCATATTGCTATGTGTTCTACTCATAGGTACGAGATTAATATTGCACCTTGTTAGTATACAATTTTGGGAGATTTACTCGTGAATCCAAAGATGGTCAAAATCAATGAAAGTGAAAACTTCCTAATTTAGTCGGCATCAATCACCTTTTTATTTTTCCCCCCCCCCCCCCCCCTAATCATAAAATCCTAAAGTCCATTATCAATTGGAATAATATGGTGGAACCTTAACCAAACTTTTATAGAGGTTTGACAATCAAATAGGATAAAAGGACGAGCATCGAGCAATTTTTTCTTCGAAATGTGACAATAGAACCGATTAGATCCACACAAAAATAATTTTATGATGGAATTTGTCCCAAAACCCTTTTTTAAAATATCAACATGGAATAGACACTTGTGGTTTTTTTTTTTCTTCTAAAAAAATTGTGATCAAACGACTTGTCAATAAACGAGAGGATTAGGATTGTAGGCAATATTCGAAGCCTTAGAACAAGCGAACGAATAATACGGAAATTAATGCTAGTTCTTAATAACTTCTATTCTTAGTGGCTGCTGATGTATTGAATAACATGCGAACTAGTGTGCGCGTGTGTGTTCAAGGCGTTCTAAAAAAAACAAACGTTGCGTTTAGCGACCATCCTAAAATTCGATTAAGACCAATCCTGACCAAGTTTTAGGACGAACTAGCGTCAAACAAAACCAGTTTAAAAGCTCCAACTTAAAAAAAAAAAAAAGATTAGACTAAATTTAAACACATGCTTTTTTTTTTAATTAGGGTCAGGATCATACGTGTCACTATTTTGACTTTTGAGGAGCTAGGGTGGGGCCCACAAGAGCTAAATAATGGGATGGGGAGGACCGAGCTCCGAATTTTCCCCTGTGTATACGAATCGTACGCGGGGGGTACTTGAGAGAGAGCTCTACTCTACGCTTTTTAACCGGATAAGACCCACCGCCCCCTCGGAATGACACGTGTCGGTCTCCACAGTCTAGAGATCCGAGCCCCCATGCCGCAGCAACCCTATAAAAAAAAAAACTCTTAAACCCATCACCGTCGCCTCCAGCGTCCCCCACACCGTCTCTCTCTCTCTCACGCTCTCGCTCAGCTCCCTTCTATCCTCGATGGTCACGCGCCCGGTGAGATTAAAAAATAAAAAATAGAATGACGCCAACTGGATAGCCTCTCCCAGACGAGGTCTGGACTCAATCTCCCTGCCTCCCTCCGCGGCGCGACCGCAAGCGCATGCCCTCGCCTGCAAGTTCTCTAACCGGACGAACCGCCGCTCCCGCCGCCACGTCTTCGTCGCAACTGCCTACGTCACCGTTCCCACCGCCGCCGCCGCGCAGGTTATCAAGCCATCTAGGGCGGTGACGGTCAAGGTGGAAGCACCCCACATTGGCGGACTTCAACTCCTGGTGCCCAGGGCTGGGGGCGGTGTGGCGGCGGACTGGCGTGGCGGCATTGGCGGAGGGCGTGGCCGGACGCTGGAGGAGATCAGGTTCAAGAGGATGGTGGTGGACGACGAGGTGCTGGAGATGATCGGGAGGAGGTTTAGGAATCTGAGGGTGTTGGGGTTTTCCTCCTGTGAGGGCCTTAGTACTGCGGGGTTGGCGACCGTTGCTGCTAACTGCAGGTAATTTGCTCCTCCCATTTTTTTTTCTTGGGTTCCGATGGGGATTTGGTGGGTAGATTAGGGATCTTTTGGGTTAAAGATCGGATTTTTCAGCGGAAATTAGGGTTTTTTTTTTTGTGGTCTGGGGGTGGGGTGGGCGGGCTGGGGGATCTTTTTTGGGGTTCAAGATTGGATTTTTCCTGCAGAAACTAGCTGCGGAGTTTCCTAATCGCGGGTGATTACGGAAGTTAGCGGTTTATGGCTGGTCGATCGTGTGGTCGTTTTGTACTGCTGCGGGCCGGCTAGTATTGCTGATAATTGCTGGTGGGTTAGCTTGCGGTCTTGTTGCTTGATTTTTCGACGATTTGGGTGTAAAAGATGATAAAATTTAGTGGAGGGTTGTATAGTTTTCAAATGTGACTTAAAATTTTTTCAATTTTGGGGGTTTTGAACCAAATTACATCTCAGCTTATGTAGAATCAGCCTCATTGCGGCCCATGCTACGTAAATTGTTCGCCAGATTCAGGATTTCTGAGGTCAAAAATGGTATTTTTGGGATTTTAGGGGCTGTTCGTTTCGCAAAATAATTTGGGAAATCAAAGAATAGGAAACCTATTTCCTATAATAATTGTTTTGAGGTTGTTTGGTTGGTTTAAAAAAGAAGAAAATTATAGAATAGGAGATGAGATAAATGAGTTGTCACCTTATTATTGGATGATGTGAGTGATTTAAAAAAAAATTGTTTTGAGGTTGTTTGGTTGGTTAAAAAAATAAGGAAATGAATTGGAGATATATTATTGGATGATGTTTTGAGGTTGTTTGTGTTTGGTTCATTTTTAAAAATAAGAAAATAGATGAGATGTGATGAGTTGGAGGTATATTATTGGATGATGTGACGCATACTTAAGGAAATTAATTTCTTATTTTTTTTTTAGGAAATGGATGGAAAGGAAGGTTTAATGAGATGAGATGAGTTGTCACAATATTATTGGATGATGTGTGTGATTTTTAAAAATGAAATAAGATGAGATGTGATGAGTTGGATGATGTGACACATTTCTTGTGTTTGGTTTATTTTTAAAGGTAAGAAAAGAGATGAAATGAGATGAGTTGGAGGATAAAAATAATATTTTATTAGATGTTGTGGGTGAGTTTTAGGAATGGAAATGGATAAAAATATTATTTTATTGATTTCCTGGTACCGATTTCCTTTTCTTTGATTTTAGGAAACCAACCAAACGGGCCCTTAAGAGATGGCATTCTGGCTGGGTTTTGAGATTCTTCATGAGTTTTGTTATTGGAACTGTAGTGTCGAGTTTGGGGGTAATCTGGGGAAATCTGATGATCCTCAAAGGGACAGCAGATGCCAAATGAGCTGTACTTTATCATTGAGCCAGTACTGACACTTAGCGGATTGTACTGTGTAATATCATCTATACCTGCAGTTTAATCTAACTTGTCTCTTTATGTTAAATCCCAAGGACTAAAATTCCTATTTGAAGTGCTTTTTGCAAGAAGAAGTTTAGGAAGACTATAGTCATGATGAAATGTCGATGATGATGCAGGGTGTTTGTATTGTTTGTTAGTGGGTATTCAGTAAAAGTCGTGCATGGATTATGTGTGTGTGCTGTGCTTTCTAGTGTTTTGGGATAAGGTTTCCAACTTGGGTCTGATTATGTTGACAAGTTTGGTAATAAATAAAATTATCTGGAGAAAGTATTCAATTTCAAGAAGAACAAGAGAGAAACAGAGAGGCTTATCATATGTCAGAAATTATAAAAGCCCTTACGGAAGACAATAGCTAACTTTGAATTTCAGGTTATTTGTAGTTTGAGAGAATTGGTGAGCTGAAACTTTTGACGCTTCAATTAAGTAAGCTTTCAGGTTTAAAATAACCATCTTGGATTCGGAATGTCCTGTTCTTATCCGATCTTTAAATATCAAGTGTGTTGTAACGTTCGGTTTACACTATTAACTTTATTAAGCTTAAAGCAGGGGGGATTAAACTCTTCTATGATCATTTTATATGTCTAGTAAGTCTCAGCTTGTCGTTCTTATTTTTAAGATGAGTAGGGAAGCCGTAATATTTTGTGAAAGTTGCTCTGAATCTAATTTATTTTTGCTTTGCATTGCAGGTATCTCAGGGAACTCGACTTGTGAAAGTTGCTCTGAATCTAATTTATTTTTGCTTTGCATTGCAGGTATCTCAGGGAACTCGACTTACAAGAAAATGAGGTGGAAGATAACTTTTATTTTTGCTTTGCATTGCAGGTATCTCAGGGAACTCGACTTACAAGAAAATGAGGTGGAAGATAACTGCTGTCACTGGCTCAGCCACTTCCCCGAAACATTCACCTCCCTCGTGGTTCTCAACATTGCATGCCTCGAAGGAGAAGTAAACATGTCAGTCCTCGAGAGGCTGGTGAGCAGATGTCCAAACCTACGAACCCTAAGGCTCAACCACGCCGTGCCTCTTGATAGGCTTGCCAACATTCTACAAAAAGCTCCGCAGCTTGTTGATCTTGGTACTGGCAGGTTTGCAGCGGATGCGGGGCCAGAGCTTTATGCTAAGCTTCATTCTGCCTTTACCGGCTGCAAGAGCTTGAGAAGTTTGTCTGGGATATGGGAAGCGGTTCCTTCGTACCTTCCAACGCTTTATTCTGTCTGTGCTGGTCTCACTTCATTGAACCTGAGTTACGCTAATTTGCAAAATTCAGAGATTACGAAGCTAGTTAGTCAATGCAAGAATCTGCAGAGATTATGGGTAAGTTATATTCATATTTCATTCATTAGCTTATATTACCAATTCTGCTTATTAAGGTTTAGTACTTTTGATCGAGCAAAAATAGGTGTTAAGCTGATTAATGTATCGCTATTCTAATTTTAGTTATAAGATACTATAGGACACAAATGCAGCTTAGGAAACTGATACAGAACCTTTGTTTGTGCTTGTATTTTTGGGTGATTTATTTGTTTGTTGAAGTGGATGTAATGCATTTTCCTCTTATTTAACTTGTAGTAGCATGGTTTAGAGCATGTGCAATTATATTCTAGATACCAGCTGTTAGAAAACTTATATCTTGTTTGTTAGGTGACCTGCAATAAAAGGT